CATATTTGGTAGTGGTAATATTAATTTTTGATATTCTCCATTTCATTTCCTCATTTTCTAACATTAATATTTGTTTCTTCTTCCTGTTTATATCAGGAACTAGCATTTTTGAAGTACTAGTACATAGTGGACAGAAATCGATCTGGGGTTTAAAGGAGGGCTCTACTTTTGAGTGAATGGAGTCTACGATCCTCGAAGATAATTGAGTCCCTCGATCCAAACAAAGGTCCACATGTTTTTGTTGAGGAAAACAATTTTTGGACAAAATATTTAGAAGTTTTTTAGAAAGTGTAGAAAACATTTTTCATTTATTGAAATTATTTTTTATTAATGCTTTTTTTAAGTGGTTACCAAATATAAAAAGATTCAAAAAATATTTTTTAAAAATTATTTTCTAACAAAATGAATGGACCCAAATGTAGAAATTTGAGTCCTCACCTTAAGAATGAGACTTTATCAATTGAATTATCATATGTTTAAGTTGAGGAAAAAGAAAAAGAAAAAGAATACAAGAATGAGGTGGGGAGCGAAGGAGAATTTTAAAACATCTATTTTTTTATTATTTTATTAATTAATTCGTTAAACTTCTCCTTATAAGTATATTTTTAATTCTTAAACTTATAATATACATATATTATAAGTCTAGGAATTAAAAATTTACACATTTTAATAAACTTAATAAACTAACGGTATGACAAAAAACATATACTTTTCAAAGTTGGGGGACAAAAAAGTGCAAAAGAAAATTAAGAGACGAAAAATGTAAAAACTCTAAAATTGAGGGACTAAAATTCGCATTTAATCATAAAAAAACGAAATTAAACGATTGAGAGTAAAATTGAGGAGTGTAAATTTATTCTGTGCAATAAATTAAACGGCGTCGTTTACCAGTACCCACCGGTTTGAGGTTTTTTTGTTTCCAGAACTTGCCTCGTCTCTCCCTATCTTCTTTCCCATGTATCCGAGATCCCGAATTTTTCCGGCGAGGCTTCTCCATGGCAATATTTTCCCAGGAACCAAACGGGCCATTAGTCCCTTCTCCTCCGGCGACACGTCGGAGCCACGTTTTACGGAGCTCATATCGAAGCAACACTGGTCAAAGCTCAAACCCCATCTCAAAAACACCAGTCCAAGCACACTTCTTCAGCATTTGCTCAATTCAATGGCAGATCCGGATCTCACTCTCAGGTCTCAAGAGCTTAAATCTTTACCAATTTCTAGAAACCTACTCAGAACCAAGCAAATTTTATGACGTTTAATTTTAAAATAGTTTCTGTGAATTTACTCGCTGATATTTTCAGGTACTTTAAATGGTCACAGAAGGAGTTTAATCTTTCCCACCCCATGGAGTCGACTTTTAGACTTTTACATTCATTGGCAAACCATAAGAAGTACTCAAGAATGAGATCCCTTTTGAATGGTTTTGTCAAGAGTGGGAGTAGCATCTCAATTCATTCAATTTTTCATGCTATATCTATGAGTGGTGATAGTTTTTGTGCTAATTCCATTATTGCTGATATGTTGATTTTGTCTTATGTTTACAACATGAAAACCCATTTGGGGTTTGAGGCGTTTAAGAGAGCTGGAGATTATGAGTTTAGGTTGTCGGTGCTATCATGTAATCCTTTGTTGAGTGCTCTGGTGAAGGAAAGTGAAGTTGGAGATATGGAGTATGTTTATAAGGAAATGATTAGGAGGAGGATTGAGGGTAATGTGATTAGTTTTAATATTGTGATTAATGGGTTGTGTAAAGTTGGGAAATTGAATAGGGCAAGTGACCTTATTGAGGACATGAAGGCCTGGGGGATTTCACCTACTGTGATCACATATAACACACTTATTGATGGGTATTGCAAGAAGGGGAGGATTGGCAAAATGTACAAAGCTGATGCTGTTTTGAAGAAAATGATAGCAAGTAATGTTAGGCCTAACGAGATTACTTTCAATATATTGATTGATGGGTATTGTAAGGATGGGAGTATCTTGAGTGCAATGAAGGTGTTTGGGGAAATGCAAAATCAAGGTCTAAAACCCAATGTGGTTACATATAATTCCTTGATTAATGGTTTGTGTTGTGAGGGGAGGCTTGATGAAGCTATTAGTCTACAAGATGAAATGGTAAGCTTGGGATTAAAGCCAAGTATTGTCACTTACAATGCTCTTATTAATGGGTACTGTAAGAGGAGTATGGTAAAGGAAGCTAGTGATTTATTTGATGACATTGCAAGACAAGGGATAGCTCCTAGTGCCATAACATATAATAGCTTGATTGATGGTTATTGTAAGGATGGGAGGATGGAAGATGCATTTGGACTACATAAATCCATGATGGAGAGGGGGATTTCTCCTGACGTTTCTACCTACAACTGCTTAATTGGAGGTTTATGCAGGGAGGGAAACAGAAAGGGTGTGAGAAAGCTTGTGGATGAAATGCTAAATAAAGGTTTGAGAGCTAATGTTATAACATACAACATATTGGTAGATGCATTGTGCAAGGAAGGAGAGTCAAGAAAGGCATCAAGACTCTTGGATGAGATGGTAAAGAAGGGTTTGAGCCCAAATCATGTGACATTCAATACATTGATGGATGGCTATATTAGGGAGGGAAACCTTAAGGCTGCATTGAATCTGAGAACACGGATGGAGAAAGAAGGGAAGCAGGCAAATGTTGTAACCTACAATGTTCTGATCAGTGGTTTCTGTAAGAAGGGTAAATTGGAAGATGCAAATGGGCTTCTTAATGAGATGCTAGAGAAGGGATTGATCCCAAATCGAACAACGTATGAAATAATTAAAGAGCAAATGATGGATAAAGGCTTTGTTCCAGACATAGAAGGGCACCTTTATAGCATCTCAGCCTACTCATAACTCTATGAAGACAACCTGATTGGTATTACCTTGCTCTGGATCTCAATGTAACTTGGCTTGTTAGACTTGCAGCACGTTCAGTGGGTCACTGTTTGACTAATTATAGAATCTAGCTTGCTGTTCTCTCATGAGGAAGACCACAACACACTCCACAAGTCCTTGGAGCTCGTTATTTCTTTCTTACTCAGGTTACTGTCTGACTCCTAGTTGAAATGCCTTACTTAACATGGAAAAATAAAAATAAAAATAAAAAATAAAATAAAATAAAAACACATGTATGGTAGGTTACCTTCTTTAATTTTCCACCTCCTCTAATGTACTTTTCTTCTCATGCTTCTTTTTGTGACTTTGCTTATCTTTCTAGGTGGCCATGTTGCTGTTAAAAGAAAGCATTAAAAGAAAATGGAAATCAGAGAGGTACTTCCTTAGTTGTTTCTTTACAGTCAATCCAAGCAAACACTGTTGCTACTGTTTGATTTCCATTAAATCTTTACTTTTCCATAACTATGTTTAAGGAGTCAATGGTAGAAACAGTCATGAAAGAGTTGAAATGGTCAGTCACAAACAACATGATTAGCTCTTCAAATTGAGACCTTTATCATATGTTAAACTTGCAAAGGGAAGAAAGATTGAGGACTTCGTAAACTATTAAATTCAGATGGCAGCAAGTGGTATTATATCATCTATGCCATGCAGAACAATCTGGGAACCCAATGAGATTCAGCTGCAGAAGAGGTTACCTTACTAACCTGTTCCAACAAAAGGTCGTCAGCAGTTCAAAACTTCAAATGCCTATGAATCCCCATTCTGTGAAAGCTTTGATGCCCAAGAAGTTCTGATTTCTGATGAATAAGTTTGTTCATTTTTATGATTTTTTTCCTCTTTTTTTTTGGCTAAATGTAGATGCAATTTGAGGTATAGGCAATTCATAAATTTTTTGTGTGGATGTACTTTAGCAACCAAGGATACTTCCCTAAAAATTATTGAATTAAAGGTGTTTGCAATTCTGTTCACTGAACCTGCAGATTACAGACATAATATGTGATTGGATTGTGAGATCTAGTTGTTTTCTTCATTTTAGCAGTAAAGCTACCTTTAGTGGGTATTTTATAAATAAGAGTAAAAGTGTGCTTTGGTTGCACTATTAGTTATCTAGTTGGTTGATCCTCTTGTGACCATAGATAAAAACTGTTGCGAGCAGCAGCAGCATCACTGTTATAAGGATAGTTTGAAGTGAAATGATTCCGGAGTCTGGTCTCGTAGGGGAAGTATGGAGTTTTCTTTTGTATAACAAACTTCTACTATCCTTTAGCAACAGCCCTTAATAGGCTTATAGCAAGTTAGCAACTAAAAAAAAATAACAAAATCAACAAAAAAAATGCAACATCTTTGAAAGTGTCACGAACAACTCTTGACAGTCTACCTGACTTATTCTGCTTACAAAAACTTATTAACATTTCTGTTTTGCCAAAAAAATTTTATTAGACCCATGCTTTATTAGTCATAATTTTGTGGAAATATAAACTGACAGCATAATCCAGCTCTATACTGACTTGAAGTACCTGCTGTAAACTGCTGCAGGAGCAATGTAAATTGAAGCCGTGTGGTTCATTGAATAGCTCTTCCATGAAAATAAAGTAGACTAAATGGGGAGAAAGGCAAGGAAAGATGTTTATAACCAATATTCTTTATATATTTAGGAATGAGATGATAGTAGCTAAATCTACAAAGAAGTGAGTAATAACCATTACAACCTCAATATTTCCTATTAAGAAGTAGAGGACTGCTAAGTGCAGTTGCCTTTTCCTGCACCCTCTAACACTCTCCCGTGTAAAATGACCTCGTGGATTTTGCCAGATGAGAACTTAGAATTGCAAGTTGAGGACTGCTATGTGGCCATTTTACATGAGAGAGTGTTGGAGAGTGTAGGGGAAAGGGAATTGCACATGGCAGTCCTCTAAGAAGTAACTAGGTAAGAACATTTAGTGTTCTCTCTCCCCCAGGGACGGAGCCAATATAGGACAAGGGGGGGCAGCTGCCCCCCCTAAGGTTTTGAAAATTTTCAAATATGGTACATTAATTTTTATTTTCTACAAAATTTTGTTTTTTGTGGTTTTAAATTATTGGGACCATTTCAAATATATATATATAAAATAAGGATTTAGGTAAAGGAATTATTTCTCTCCTTATGATTAATTTTTAAGATATGATAATTTGGTCTGGGTAAGAAAAAATATTAATCAAAATCTAATTAATTACATTAATATAACTTATATAAGTTTTTACAATAGTTATGTATAACTTTTTTATACAATTTATATATTATGAAAATAATGTTAAATTTATTCTATTCATATAAATCATATATTTCAAATTTAAAGTTGTTTTGATATAAGTAGTCATTTAAAAAAAAAACTATATTTTTATATTATTTATTTAGGAATTTTAAAGTGTGTATCATTAAAAAATAACTAAATATATCTAATTAATTTAAAATTTTACATTTATAAATAAGTGATACATACATGCATAAAATAAGCGATCAATATAAAAATTAATTTAAATTATGTTAACATCAACTAATACATAACTCAAAAAAAAATTTTAACCTTTACCCTCGCCCCCCTAACTTCAATATTTCTGGCTCTGTCCCTACTCCCCCTTTCCCCCTCTAATTTATAACCATATGTTATTTATTTGTGTGAGAATCATTGAGTATCAATCCAATGAACTGTTGATAAAAAAAAAGAAAAAAAAAAAAGAAAAGGAATTCCATGAACCAAACATGACCTAAGGATTATTTCAGCTGCACTTGGCCAGTTATGGAATCAGTTAGCCATTCTGTATCTGATACTCTAAGCAGCATCTTGAATGGAGGGCTACTTCACATCCAAGAAACAGTTACATATAGACTTCTTGCTCCTCTTTGCCATATCCTTAGGTTGTTGCTAATGACAATACAGACTTTTCACATCATGATAAGCTTTATTCGCCATATGCTCAGGTTGTTGCTTAGGTTGTTGCTAATGACAATACAGACTTTTCACATCATGATAAGCTTTGTTTGCCATATCCTTAGGTTGTTGCTAATGACAATACAAGCTTTTCATATCATGATAAGCTTTATTTCTACATCCATGAGGATTAATTGGCTTTGTTTCACCCAATATAATTGTCTATATAGGCTTTGTTTCTTCCCATATAATTGTCTATGGTGGTAGTTTGTGTGGATTACATACAGTTTTGAGACATACTTAGGTTCTTAAGAGTGCCCTTGAATCTCAACCCTCTAGACCCCAGGGTAGGGTTTAATGCATTTTCTGGTGGTTGTCTAAATTCTTATTTGGGTTGGAAAACTCTTTTTAACTTTTATATAACTTGGAGTTTGCTTTGGTCCGTCACCCATGGATATGTGAAGTGTGTTTCTTTTTCGTGCATGTGGGTCTGGGATATACAAGTAGAAATTAAATATGGCACTCCTTTTTCCAAACCCTTTCCTCTCAAGGTTTGAAGCTGAGACGTCAATATTCGACAGTCCCCTAAAGCTTAGGTACTATGTTAAGGGCTATTGCATATCTGACCTTGCTTTTAGATTGAAATAACTCTCAATCTTGACTTAAAGCAAATAAAAATTCCAGCATAATTCTGCAAGGACAATTTGAGAAAGACCAAAGAAAGAAAGATGCCAATTTTCAAGGAGCCAGAATGGTCTAAGGTGGGGGCGGATAAAACAGAGCATGAATATTATTGAGAGATTAATCATGGTAACGTTTGGATGGACTAGAGCGTAGAAGATGTCTAATCAAGAAAATTGTCGAATTATCAACATCAAGGGTGGCGTGGGCACATGCCACCGTCGTGTGGTTGCCACACACTTGACCCCACCATGGCCATTTCCTACAGTTTCTTTGACTTCATTGATGGTTACTGAAGGTCCTCCTCCTATTGCTTTTCCCTTTGTCTGAGATGCTCCAAGCGTTACCAAATAAGCCTAATCTCAATGAAATGGCAAAAGGACCTTATTTGAGTTTAACTTTGGTTTTTATTTAGAGCAATTTAGATCCGCTTTGGAATGTATTGATATACTGTTTATTACGATATGGGCTTTTTTGGTTTCTAAGTGTAAGCTATGCAACATTTGATAATCTCATCTTGTTCAATCTTTTGTGAAATTTGAATATGAAATTTTTAGGTTTCAACTAAAAAGTAAAAAAAAAAAAAAAAAAATTAAGTGTATGCATGTGTAGATGGCCCTCAACCATATAGACTAAAGCAATAGTCCACCACACTTTGGAAGGGCCACTTTAAATAAAGTGTTTCAACTTCGACGTCGAGTAGTCGCGTTGTGAGTTTTGTTGGTAGTGAAAGTGGCAATAAAAGGGAGATTATCAACCACCTTTTAATCTTCTCTTCATTCTTTACTCTGCTTTTCTTGTGGAGGTAAAGCATGTACTCATTCATGCATGTGTTTTTACTAAAGGTGTTAAACCTTTTATCTTGTTTTTTGAGAATTAGTGTGTATCAACTAAATTAAGTTTTGATATTTTACAAGAAGCAGAATTGATAGGATTTAGCTTTTTTTATGAATTGATGTTTTAATTGTCTCCAGTATTGTTGAAAACTTCTTGTTGAAACTTGTTGTGTTTGTGTATTTGGTTTGCCTATTCAATAAATTGCGTGAAAAGTACGTAAGAACCTCTAGAGCTTTGTCATGTTATTACTTGTCTTTCCATGACAAGTAACCTTCAATTCTAAGTATTCTCTCAAGGTCAAGCTAAAGAAATTATTCTTCAAAGTAAAATAATGAATCAAGATCTTTAAAGAGGTTTTAAGTTCCAATCTTTTTCTTGTAAATATAGCATTGCGTGAAAAAAGAAAAAACATTTACCAAGTTGCTGTGGGGCAAAAGTACCATGGTTATGAGGATCAATGCAATGGACAAAATTATTCTACAATGAAAAGGATGCGCAATTGATAACCAAGCACATTTGATGATCATTATATACTCACCAATGAATCCAAAAGTAAAAATGGGCAAAATATTAAAAAAAGAATATACCTTTATATTACCTAATCTTCTTAAAAGCTTTAATATTTTTTAATACAAAGTTTGCTTTAGTTCCATCAAAATGTCAACGTTTGAGCTCCAAAAGTGGCCATCCAATTTATCTTAAGGGCATCTTGTCTCTTGAATGTTCGAAGAATGTGCCCAAAAGGAGAGAAAAAATGAAAAAAAACTCAAGTGTGGATGGATTGTATTCATCATTTAAGTAGAGGACGAAGTGCTGCCAAAGTGCTAGTGCCAAAGCATAATCTTGTCTCTTATTGCATCTAAAGAAGTCTAAATCACACTTTATATAATTTAATAGGTGTTTTAGTCCATAAGAATTTGGTATTTTAAGTTAAGATTAAATTTGAATTTTAAGAAAGGCAGGAAAGAATTTGAGAACAAAGTGATGGGAAAAAAGATTTAAGAAATAGGAGAGCTATATATATACCTATTATATTAATTTATAAAAAAATTTAGGCAAACCCCAAGTCCCTAAAATTTCCTCATTTTCTCACATTAGCTTTTTTGGTTAAAAAAAAGTGGTATACAAGCCCCTAAACACCTGAATTCAAGCAAATTAGCCCTTGTGCTGACTACAAAATCATGTACAATCACATAAGTTAAACAATTGTGTATGTGTGTGT